TTTTTTTTTTTTTTTACTAGCCTTATTGCATATGTCACTTTACCTACACCAATATCAAGGACTTCATACATACACTGTGTACATTCACTTCATATGCTGCTGTGCCACTTACTACAAATGTCAATGTCAGGACCTTCACTTCATTTAATTTTATTTTATAGATCTACTTAAAAAAAATGTATACTGCTATAGTACAATTTAAGACAGTATGATACTTTTATTATTTCATTTTATGCTTATGTTCATTAAATGTTTTAATGTTAAATGGTTATTGTTGCACTGGGGTCTGAGAGTAATGTAATTTCAATCCTATGTATGTCCTGTACATATTGTAGTTTTTGACAATAAAGTGACTTTGACTTGACTTTGATATTGTGCATAATGGATATAATAAACATAGTGAGGAGGCAGGACAGTGTCTCAAATATATGAATAACAGAAGGAAAACCTATTTGGTGAATACCATGAATACCTTAAGGAAGGTTTCCAAATTTACTGCAATCCAGCTGTATTTTATTAGGCAGGAGGCAGATGACCTGACTGAAAATTGTTGGATTAGCCAGGAGAGTGTAGTGGGGTCGTCATGATGTTTAACATCTCTGGTCAGTGGTGGTAATGGTCTGTCAAGTTCTTGTTTCTTTGTATTTTCCTTCTATGTAGCCAGACTTTTTAAATAATATTCTACAAAGAACTTGAACAACTTGAACTTGAACAAAAGTGATCTTTTTTAATAGTTCTACTAATACTAATACTGTATTGTAAATAGTCTGCCATGCTCAATGTTCCAACACATATTGAACATTATTATTGATATTGTTTATCTTATTTCTTTATATTTTGTTTTTAACATTTAGGAACTTTGTGTGAAATCTTTTTATATGTTGCTGCTGTTACACTTGAATTTCCCATCTGTGGGACAATAAAGACTGTTTCTATTCTATTCTATTCTATTCTATTCTATTCTATTCAAACTTTCTGAAGGTCTTAAAAAAGAGTTTTTCTTTGGACTTTGCCTTTTCAGTGTTTCCGTCCTTGTACTAGAACATTTTCAAAGGAATATTTTGAATGTTGACCTTTGAATTAGTGGGACTTTAAATGCAACTAAATTAAAAAGCTGAATCAGTTTTGGGTAGATACATAATAATAAAAACTTAGCAAAGAAAACAGTTTAACTTGGATCTTTGTGTTCTTTCTTAGCAGCAGCCAGTCATAAAGACCTAAATTGTTCCCATTTCTTTTGTTCACTCTATGCCCCCCCAGCCTAAAATAACATGTCGATGTAAAATAATACACGTTGACTCCAATTAGAGCTGTTAGATGGAAACTTAACATACAGTAAACTGGATGCACATTTGTGTTTAGGATCAAACTGCATCTGTGACTTTAAGCTGAAGGTGATGTTTGGAGGTCATTTCTAACGTCAGAGGATGAACCTGCAGAATCGCCAGGAACCACATCCTGTCTACACCTCTGTTGCTGACTGCAGCTGGTTTCAGGTCTGCCAGCATCCAGATGATTTAGCCAGAAACAGCTGGATTAAAGTGAGCTAAAGTGGAGAGTTGAAATGAGGAAGCTGCTTGCTGAGTTTGAACAATGTGAGGTCTGTATGGGCAGCAGAGTGGCCTACTTTCCCAAGAGCTGCACACACTGACCCACATACATGTTACACACTGCATGGGTCACACTTTTTAAATCTTCCCACAAAAACAGACGGGTAGATGTTGATGAACTTTAAAATCTTAATTTCAGACGAGTTGATTTCAAGAAGACAGTAAAAGTTACAATGACTAAATCTGCTGGATTATTGTACCTCTAAAGTACTTTTGTAACTATTTAAGATAAGTTTACATACAGTTCAGATGTTTTATGCCTTATGATCTGGTTGTTAATGTTGTTTTGGTTCCTCTCTATTTTGTTGTTCAATTTACATATCTAATATTATTTTAAAGGTTAGGTATTATTTCGCGTTTCTAAACAGTGTTGTGTTTTTGTAAAGCTTTTGCTGGTCTTTATTCTTATTTTTCAACAGTCTGTGGTTAGTATAACATTTACTATTTGCATTTTAACTAGAGTCATGTTGCACATGTGTCCTTTTAGATTCATCAGTATTGTTTTGCAAATGTTTTTGTTCATGCATAATGTTTTTTGGTCTCCATATCCACCACTCTTCCCTAAAAGCCTATACAAGAGCTATGTCAGAATCAGAATAAACTTTATTATCATTGCATCGAGATAAGAGAACATGTACGCGAAAGATGGGTGGAGTGCACGTAGCTGCTGCTATAAAGCTCGGCCTTCTTATCCTTTTCAGAATACATTTTTTAGATGGAAAAAGGGACAAAGCTGTAGGCTTTCTGGGGTCTTGTCATACATGTTGTGTTTTTACTCATGTATGCCTGTCACCCCTCTGCATTTCTCCTCCTGTGATCCAGCAC